CACTTATCCTGGGTTTAGCCAAGTTTCCCACGATTCCATAAAGTTTGTTTACAGCCACCAGTCCTAGTTCTCAGTATTCTGTGCTGTTCTTTCGCTCTAATTCACCCACTAAGTGTCTTCTAAGAGCCCATCTGGTAGTGGAAGTGTTGGTAATGCTGCCAGCCATCATTGACCTCTCATGGTTCAGCAACTTCTCTGATTCAGTGCCAGCCAGGTCCCGAAGGTGCCGGACTAGAGAGGTTCAACCTGTATTTGACAGTATCCTGATGATAGCCCTGGAAATGGAGTTTCTCTTTCTTTGTGTGTCTTTAAACTGGGCTATGCAACAGCTGGTGCTGCTTCTTTACTGTTAAAAGATGTGACAGAAATCAAATGTCAAATCACGTGTCCTAGTAAAAGCTGGTGACAGAACAGGAAAGGTGCACATGAGGACCATAGCTAAGTTTGAGTGAACTGCCACCACTGGGAACTGTGGGTGCGGGACCATGAGACAAAAGCCAATGTCAAGGTGGAACTGCCATACACTTCATAGGACTCCAGGCTTTCTGATTAGACGCTTGTTTTTCCAACCTGATACCAGCCACACCTAAGACGAGCTTGATGCAGAAATGGTATGACCGTACTTTGTCAGAAAATATCCCCACTTGGATATGGCTTCTTGATCCTGTGCAACCCCAACCCAGCACAGATCCTTTTATTTCTTCTCCTAGTTCGCACTAGTATCATCAGTGGTGTTGGTGAAGACACAAGTAGGGGAATGCATGTTTTTGGTGGGCCCTACAAAAATGGTGGGGTTTTAAAAAGTTGGTTACAGAGAGATGCTAAATATTTGCTGAAAAGGGGGAAAAGTTACATACATCACAGCATCTGGACAACCTTCTCCATCAGGTTAATAAATAATTGCTGGCAGCTCTGCTTTAAGGTTAAACTACCTGCCCACATCCCTTTAACTTGGGTAGAAATTTCACTCTCCTTTCCTCTTTGACTCAAGACCTTTAAAGCCATTTTTATTGTGCATATCCAGTTCTTTTAAGGGCATTTCCTAGTATTTACAGCATCACAGCTTCTGCAATTGATGGGCCTTTCTGCTTTTCTCAGAACTGACCCTTGTTAAATCACTGGGCATCTTTTCTGCACAGGATTCAAGGGAAAAATACAACCCCACATATTTTGCAGAACTATTACATCACAACACTATAGGGCTGCAGGCTCAGAAGGAGAAAGATTGCTGGAGAGTTCCATCTAGACTGATGCTCTAGGATCTCTCACTCCCAATCACAGACCTTTGCAGCACATAATGGAATTTACGCTCCAGGTATGTTTCATTATTTACTAATTCTCTCCACTTCGTTTTGCTTCACAATTAAGCAAATTAGCAACTTTGATGAATATTTAGACCCTCTCGCCTCATAAGAGATGAGATGGAGGCATCCCTGCTGGATTTCCCTTGGAAACCTATTTCAAACTCAGGTTGTTTTTAACTCCCTTCCATGGGTGTGCGTGAGAGATAATGTGGCCCCCAGAAAAACGATCACAGCATCCAAGTTTTAATCTGGGGCATTCGATTTTAGAAAAGTCACACAGCTCCTTGCAATGTCTAGTTTCTCTGCATGGGCAGAGCACCATGGACTCAGTGCCAAGTAAAATAAACTGAACAAATTGTCTAATGCAGTGGCCTAGTGCATTCTGGGAAGAAGTCCTAAATTTGTACCTATTTATGGTAATTTCTCCTACTAAGTTGCTATAATCAGATGATTTAACTACAAGGATTTTTTTTTTATAGAAGGGGAAAATGGGAAAATGCCTTACTCTTTCTAGAAAACATTTATTCTCTGGCATTAAATAACTTTACAGCTAGAGAGTATATTTTCCTCCCGCCTCCTCCTCTGCTTTGACATGGTTTACAGATGATATTTTGAAATGACAATGAACTAGCAAGTGTGATTATAAGAATACCTAACAGTTATACAATACTTTTCATCTGAGATTCTAAAACACCCTACAAAGGAAGTCAGTAGCATTATTTCCATTTTACAGATGGGGAAAATGAGGCATGTAGATAGGAAGCCATTTACCCAGGGTCACTCAGCAGGGCAGTGGCAGAACCAGGAAAAGAAACCAGTCTCCTGAATCCCAATCCAGTGCTTTGTCTACTAAGCAGCACTGCCTATAGTGACACTGCCTTCTTGTGGATGGATGCAGAATGGCTCATATATGTATCATATGCTCTATAATGCATAACAACTAATGAAGATTCAACATTAATTCAAGTGGAAGAGGCCTGTTTTTACTGCAGGAGGATTGGATTTTAGCATGGAGGAGCATTTAGTGGCCACGAAATGCAGGATGGTGTAGGAAAGCACAACGCACATAGGTCATTACATATTTATTACAGTGTTGATCTGCAACCTCAAGATTTTTTGTATTGCCTGCCAACTTTCCTCCTTGTTGGTGCATTTCACAGGCACACGGCTACATGACAGGCTGCCATTACGTGGGTTAAATACCCACACCCATTCTGACAAGTAATCTGAATACTCAGAGTTACCACTATTGCTCTGGTCCCAAGTGAATACAATGAGATTGTGACACCTAGTACAACCACTGTCTGGCTGTGCCAGTCAATGTAAGCCTTAGACTGAGCTCTGATCATTCCAAAAGGAGGTCATAAAGAATTCAGCTATGGAGAACATGTAGGCGCCCTTCCTTCCAGTTGCAGAAGGTGTGGGCATCTCCGGACCTATGCTAACAGCCTGGGACTCAAACTGACTTCCCATTCACCAGAGAAATGAGATTAGGCCCTTTAGGTGCTCCGCAAATATTAAAACATCCCGCGTCAATCTGAGACAGGCTCCCAGCCTTATCGATGAAGGAGTCTTTCGTTGCAGATTGAACCTCTCCAGCATCCTAGGAACCGGTGCTGAGCCAGAGAATTTGCCGGACCATGGGAGGTCAATGTTTTCTAGCGGCATTACCAACCCTTCCGCTGCTTGCTGGGCTCTCAGAAGATATTTAGGGGTACATTAGAGCTAAAGAACAGTATAGAACACTAAGAGCCAGGACTGAGGGCTTTAAACAAATGTTATGGGACCACGGGAAACCCATGAACAGTGGGCATCCAGCTCAATAAAATCTTGCTTGACCACAGATGTTGCCAGACCACAGAGCACCAGACTAGAGAGGTTCAGCCTGTACCCTGTTTTCCAGCAGGGTGGATGGGGAGCAGGGCATTGTGCCTTATAGGGGTTAACTGAAAATGGAAGAAAATTCATTGACATCTGGACCTCTTCAGATATAACTTCTTACCCTCCCCCACAAAGCACTAGTTCTATTCATCTGTATTCTAGAGTTGGGAGTGATTGCCACTAAAATGCTGAACGGAGTCAGTGAACCCAAGAGCTTGGCTTAGCAGTTGGGACGGCTTGTGTTTCCTCATCTGAGAGAGGAATGGCTGATACAGCTCTGTTACAGTTGAGGTCCTGTATTATTAACACTGTGTTGGCTCCCTCAAGCAATGGACGCCAGTGGCCTGCAGCCCATAAATTTTCATCATGATGATTTTAGCTTTGCTTTGTACAGTCTGGTCCCTCTTTTCAGAGGGGCAGTTTATCACTCTCAGAAACAGGTTCAGAGGAAAGGCCTCACTAATAGTAAATATTGGGGAATCTTTGAGGAGCTGACACAGCCAGGAGGCCTGGGGGCAAGGTTGGGGGGCAGTTCTGTGCCCCCGGAAGAGGCAGGTCCTTGGGAGGAAGGGGCGGGACTGGGGGGCAGATGGCCTTCTGCACTGCCACCCCCTGCAGCACTGAAAGTCGCCGGCACTATTTCAAAGGGAACCAGGGTTCCGGCTGCTGCAGTAGCAATGGCATCGGGCCCCTTTGAAACACCAGGCACTAGTGTATTTTCCCCTTTGTCCCCCTCTATCCCTCCCCCATTGGCCAGCCTGAACCTGACCCTTCTGATTTGGGCTCCCAAACTGAGAAAAGTTTTAACTTGGTCAGGCTCGTCGTCTGTGGTGTGATACAGTCTCCAAGAAATTGCTGCCTGATTTATTACAGCAAGCGCTTTCTGTTCCAGGGGTTTTGATAGGTCAGGACTGAGGAGCACTAACGGAGCTGAGAGCCTGGGAAGATGCAAGTTGGGACTAAAGTGCATTAGTAGAACTCCCAGAGTGTAGATAAAGGCCTGGGCATGCACCTAAGCACTGAAATTACCCTCATCACATAAGAAATAACCATTAATGGTTTTGTATTCCCACAACACTCTGGTAAGATAGGAAAGTATCTCCATTTTAGAGATGGGGAACTGAGGTACAGATTAAGTGACTTGCCCAAGACCACATGTGATACATGTGGTAGAGCCAAGAATAGATAGTAGTTTTCTCCAGTTTCATTTCAATGCCCTGTCTCCTAGACCACCTTTCCCACATTTATGCGCATGCATGCCGCAGACTGGAGAAGTAGCAGCAGCTGATTGGGATTGAAGGCAGGACTAGCCTAGCAAAGAATTGATATATGTGAACATTTAGTTGCACTAGGAGAATCTGCTTGCACAGCCTCTCCCTTCAACATGTCCTGGCTCCAAGCCCTGTTTTCAACAATCACTCACTTTCATGAGAATTTGAAAAATATCTCACTAAATCCAGAAAACAAAAAAATCATCACTGGCATTCCAACACAGCTATGCAAAATCAGCCTCCTGCCAAACTTGCGGATGGTGAGACTTGTGATGGGGACATATTTTCCTAGCAGACTAAGATCCAAATCCCAAACCATATTTCACTGATGTCAACTCAGCCCTATCTCTGTTTCTTGCAGACAATAGCATGCTCGCATGGAAGAAAGTTCCTTCACTCCTCCTGCACAGATGGGCAGAACTAGATAAAAGTAATCCTCCTTTGGCACCGTGCCGATCTGTACTGACCACTGAACAGTGGCTCCAAAAGTGTGGTGCACAGGGGTAAAGCAGCAGCCAATGAGGTGTAGAAGAGCACTGCTTACCTGTCTCTCCGACATGACATACAGATACTTCTGGTCAACAGAGAAGGCCATGTCTCGAAGGATAGGGCTCCCATCCTTGAAAACTGGAACCATTTCATATTGAATTCCGCCATGGGGAGGCCCATCTGCTCGGATCTGGAAAAAGGACAGGCAGAGGACAGGTCATGTGCAGAACTGGTGCTTGCGTACTGAAGACATAAGGCAAGGAATGCTCACAACCGACATGAGGGACTGGAGTTAAAGCCGAGGGTCTGTTTACACATCAATGCAACATCACTCCCACACATGATGAGAAATAGTGAGATTTCCAGCTGGCCTGGTGAAACAGCAACTTCATTGGCTGATCACAGTTGTCCCACGCTTACCTTGCACACCTCTCACTTGCTGGATTCAGATGTTGGCTTTTGTCTTAAGTTTAGGCCTTGTCTACACCAACCCGCACCGTCGATGAGACTAATCTATGAGACTTCAGCTATGCTAGGTACTTAGTGTGGTATCTTGTGTGGGGGAAGGTTGGCAGGGTAAACTGTCGATGCTGGCTACTCTTCTCGTTCTAATGGAGTACTGGCGTCAACGGAAGAGGCCTTGGAGATTGATTTATTTATTATGTCTAAGCAGACATTAAAAAATGACAGCCAGTGGATTGATCACTGATACATAGTGTGGGTTTCCATTGACTTCCTGATTCTACTGAACTTTGGGGAAAAGGAAAGAGACTCAGAAAGAAATAGTCTTTCAAAATCTGTCTCCTACTGAATGAAAGATGAGCAGAAATGCACCCTGGACTGCAGAAAACAAACAGGTTCTCCAATACTATTTTTAAGCCTCCCCTACATGCAGAAGGGATGTAAATGGTTAAACAGTTAACTTGTGGGGGCAGGAACCCCATGAGGCCCACCACAGGCAGAGGATGCTGCAATCCAGCCAGAACACCCCCTACCTGCTGCGGGCTGGCTTGACCCTGCAGCCCGGGCTGAGTTTAACAGGTTAACTAATGAAATGGGATTTGACGAATTTAAATGGAATTTTATATCCCTAGTACACAGACACTTGGAGCTGGATAATCAGACGTGTTCAGCATTCCATAGGCATCCAGTGTGAGGTTTTCTGAAAATACCTCCTTGAATGGGAGCGGAGCTTTTTGGAAATCTAATCCTGAATGTGAGTGCCGGGGCTCTGTGAAAACTCTGCCCAGAAAGTCTGATCTCTCTTATACCAGTATAATTCCATTGACTTCACTGAAGTTACTCCCAGGCCTTTATCGTTTAGAGTGATTTTGGGAGTATGAGATACAACAATATAATACTGTAAATTATTGACCATCTAATGGCTTCCCATTCTCCCACAACCCCGGTTCAGTATTACATCTGTCAAAATAGGGGAGCTGGCTGTTTTTAGAAATATGCTTGGTAAATATTACATATTTTAGAGACAGGCTGGATCGGATCTGATTTACAGTGGCCACTTTTCTATTCAGGTTCCTGTACTGCTTATCATCATGGTATGTGAGCTCCTTTCAGAAGCGCATTGAGTGAAATGACTATCATTTGTCTCTCATGATTCTTTTGGTCTTCCTTTCTTCTCTGACTTGGGACAAAATTGTGGGTGAATTTACAAACATGCGCACACACTTTGGATGGGATTTCAAAAGCAAATAAGAGACCCCAGTTCACACGTCTTGTTGAAATGGGACTTATGACTCTAAAAATCACTCGTTTGAAATTCACCCTTTGGTTACAGTGGAGTTACCCCCAATGTATACTGAGGTTTGAAAGCAGAACCAGCCCCAAAGTTTTAGGCTGTAAGAACACCCAGGAAGAGTGACCCAGACTGACTACCCAACTTTCCCCTCAGTGGGAAAGTCCTTTAAAATATTAAAAGAGTAAGGACTGAGTCTGCCACATTCTGAGATGATGTGGTCCTCTGAGATGCTATGTCAAATTCATTTGGCAGCTTCTTCTCTAGCTAGAAGCTGCCACACGAACCGATAGCTGAGTGGTCGCATGGTTTGTTGAGACTGAATGTCTGCTAGTCTTTTGGCATGGTGATTTGAAGCTGTATGATACAAATCCCTCGCCCTGCAGGAAAACTCGACACAAGTCATGATAACCCCCACTGTTGCAGAGATCACACCACCTCTTCCAAAAATTAATAATTTATGGCCTTAGAGGCTAAGTGCAGAGCTGGGAGGAGAATAAACAATTTACATTTTGACTGTCCTACCAGGATTTGCATATTTAAACAGCCATTTGATTGCAAGGCGGTGTCTATATAACACCAAGCTGAAAACAATGGCAAGCCTCAGGCTGGGAGATTAAACCCGCCATGTGAGGCAAAGGTTCCAAAGGGCCTATTGATGGCTCCATGGCCCTCAGTGACAAAGATACTGTTACATGCTGGTTAGCAAACCATAGCATGTCTCAGGTACCTGTAAAGCATATGCATGCTGCCCTGCTAGGAAAGGAAAGTACAAGGGACCAGAGTCTTGGGAAAAAAAACTCTTATAGCAGAATTGTGATGCTGGAGTCAACATACTTTGCATTGATTTTCTGGGGTGGTCCCACAGTGTAAGGTTGATGGGAGAAACACTCCCGATGACTACCCTTACTCTTCTCAACAGTGAGGAATACTGGTGCCAATAGGGGGTGCTCTCAGCATTTGATTCAGCGGGTCTTTACTAGACCCACTAAATCAAACTCCAGAAGATCAATCACCAGAGTGTTGATCCTCTGGTAAGTGGAGACGTGGCCAAAGAAGCCATCTGTTGCAGTATCATGCTATGCTATCTTGCTGGAGCCCAGCCTGCTGCTCAGTTACTCCATGCCTGACTGTTGAGACTGAGGCATGAAGAATCCAAGTTTGGAGGAGGCTGAATCTTCATAAAAGGTGACAGGGCTTGTGGCAGAGGCATGTGACTATTCTTATTTTCCTCACAGGCAGTATGCAGGGATGGAGGAGGAATCCCTGCCTAGGGATTAGAACTCCAAACTGGAGAGCTGAGGATCTAATCCTTGACTCTCTACGAACTCACTGTATAGCCCCTTGTCAAATCACAAGGGAGAAGGGCATTTACTGCTCAGCACCCATGGAAAAATCAGGCCGTGTGCCTGTGCCTCAACTTCTCTGTCTGTAAAATGGGGATAAGAACACTGCTCCTCCTTTACACACCTAAGTTCTGTTTGCTCAAGATTCCATGACAGTGTGAGACACCATTATCAGATTCACAGAGGAGAGAAGTCATCTGCATCCAGTCACTAAATGCACCAGCTTGTTTGGAAGAGCTTTGGGTACCTCCCTGCCAGACTTGAGCAGCGAGTTGCATTTGGACGTGCTAACATATTTATTTTCTGGGCATCTCTCCCATCTTTTCACCTTTTAATTTTTTTTCTTACTAATGAGAAGAACAGGAGCCAAACTGAATCTGTGAAGAAGAGAGAAGGAAGGGGTTGAGATCTGCACCCAACCCCAGCTTTGAATTCCGTTATTATAGACTCCTAGCAGGCTACGCTGGAAGTAAAAGTCTGACAAACTTTTAGAGGGGGAAAGTTGGATGAAGCCAGAAGAGCAATTCCTGTTGCGAATTATATTGGTGTAAAGACGCTCCACTGACTTTATGGAATGCAGAGACAAGGGCAGAATTTCATCGTAAATTTCCCAGGGACGACGATTGTATAAGTCAGTGATCACCAACCAGTAGATGAGAATTTACTGGTAGATCCTGAAGCTTCCAACAGGTGATCCTGACTGGTTTGGCTGGGAGGCTATCAAGTGACAGCACTTCAGCTGCCCCTCCCACCCCCACTGCCAAGGGGCTCCTGTCCTCTACCTAGGCACTGCCTCCCCCCCCCCCCCAAGGATCCTGCTGGTTGTGCAGGGTAGGGGATGCAGGAGAGGGAGGCACTGTACCCCCTGTACCTCATCTCCACAGACTGAGCAGAATGGGGCCTCAGAGAAGTGGTGGGGCAAGATTATTTGGGTTTGAGGTGGATCCTAGATTAACTTAAATTCAAAAAGTGATCTTGTGCTTAAAAAAGTATCACACATATTGACTTCCACGGATTGACTCTAGCATTATGCTCCTGTATCTAAGGACAGAGATGAACCCTTTGTCCATCTCTCTGGAGTTCACCTGGAGAACTGGAGGGGAAATGTTTGTTTTTTTTTTAATCGCAAAGGAATGTGTGTGAACTACAGGCAAGTTCCTCTACAGCTGTTGGTAATGGTACGTCTCTCTGCATATGTGCTGTCTTTATGCTTAATCAGGAAAAGCAAGCAAGAGCTCTGTCTGACGTTTGTTACTATTAAACCAATCTGGATTTGTGAGAACCCCTTTCACTAAACATACTCACAATTAAATTGGTGTTTATCAATTATTGGTTATCAATTGACAGGTTACTAATGAACAGTTATTATCTCAGTGGGGCATGGTACCATCAATCACAGAGGACCTACAGTGTGGCACCTGGTCCTTCCGGATTCCTATTGCTATTTTTCTTGCTCTGCAGGGTGAATTCCCTTGAACAACATCGAGTTCCTTTTAAATCAACAGCCATGAAATCACATCTTCCCTTCCCTCAGGTAATGTTCAAACCATCAGCTCTTGCTGCCCTTAGAGCAGGGGGAAGTTGAGAGTTCCATGACTATAACTCAGTCATTTAAACTAAGCTGCAAAATCCATCCCACCCAGCTCCTTTCCCCCTTGAATTCGTGCATCAGCAAAAGCTGTCAGGAGACATGCATTTGGTCTAGTGTCCTCTATAATCTCCCTGCTAAGTTCAGGTATGTCTACCCAGCAGGCCTAAAGTAGAATTAAGCTAACCAACTCCAGCTACCCCAATTGTGTGGCTTAAGTTGAAATAGCTTAAATCGGCGTTTGGCACTGTCTACATGGCAGGAAGTCAAAGGAAGAACACTCTTACTTCGATTTCCCTTAGTCAGAGTAAGAAGTTCTCCAGCTCGACATTATTTCAAAATAAAGGCTTGTAGTGTAGACACGGTCTATGTTAATACGAAATAACATTGCTGTGTAGACGTACGTTAAGTGACTCTTGCCTTTACCACTGCTCTGTCTCCAAACCTAAGATGTTCTCCCAGCCTCTATCTTCCGCTGTCTCTCTCCAGCCACCCATCGTTAA